AGCAAGCATTTTGTGCTAACAAGCTAAATGAATAGTGAGAGCCATAACTGAATTCACCAACATTTTATTGGTCACCAAGACATAAAAACTGTATGTGCAGAACCACCACTCAAATCTGATTTTTTTTAAAAATGGAAAGGAAAAAGATTAAAATAAGGTTTCAAAAGCTGTTACATTGGTTGTCGCCATTACAAAGCAAACCATTGACTTTTTTGGGGGGGATGCAGGGACATGTGTGGTACAATGTTTGGCTTTACAGAATTCTCCCACAGATTCCCACTCAGGATTCTTTAAGTGGTGAGTTTCTTCTGATAGTGTCACATAGTTAACAATAGTTTTATTTATTTATTTATTTATTTCACTGAAAGTTATTTAATGATGAGCTTTGATTAACCCAAAAGGTGGCTTAAAAACGCTAAAATATTTTGTCCACTAAAGGATAAACTGGTTGGAGCTAATTTCCCACGCTGCGCTTCTGTGTCTACAAAAAAGCGTCCACGTCAGAATCCTTTTTATCAATTATTTGAACTTTCGAGAATGTTCGCGGTATCTTCATTACAACAAAAAGTAATTTTTTACAAAAAAACTCTTGTGTTAGCTCGCTGGGAATGTTTGCTAATACATAAGAGGTTCAAACTGGGTCCAGCTAGAAGCTAAACTGACATTTGGTGCTGAGCAGCGAGCATTGTTTTACTGTCTTTTTGCTGTGAACAGATACTGACGATGTACTGATGAGAGAGAAGCAAAACAAAACAGTCAAGTTGCAATGCAAATCAAAAACAATTTGCTAAATGATGCTGTAAAGTTCTGTTGAGCTGAAAGGAGAGACTCGCCTTTTAAAGAATCCAGAACAGAAATCTAGGAGAATAGCACAAGGCCAAAGACAATGATTGTATGGTACATGTAGTCAAGGTTAGAGTCCAGGCATCCATAAATAAAGACAATTTATGAAGTTGAGGGAAGCTAGAAGTTAGCAATAAGCTAGCTAGCTAGTTGATGATTTCCATGTTCTTGAGGAGATATTTCTAAAAAACTAAAAACAACAAATATAATAAAAAAATAAAAATAATACTTATGGTTAACATGCACATTTTTCTTTCTGTAATTCTAGAGTTAATGTTTTTATGGTTGTTATGTGCAATTTAACAAAACAGAGGAAATCTGTAAATAACAGTTTAACAAATGATTTACTATTTTTTAAAACCTTAATATATGTGATAGTTTTTCTTTCAAATGATGGTAAAGATTTGTAATGCTGATATGTAAAGCTACGATCTGTTTTTTACAAAATGGTAAACATGCTAATTATTACTTTCCCCCCCTGTGATGTTACTACTTAAAAAAAAACCAAAAACAAACAAAAAACATATAATTCAACAAAACATCTGAAAAAATCTGTAACATATAATTTTAGCAAATTATTTTACATTTTTAAATTCTCAATGTACAGAAATTTCCTTTAAAATAATTGTACAAATTTTAAATCTTGATATTATTTGTAATTTTGACTTGTCTTTATTGGTAAACTAATAGTAAAATTAATACTTTCTGTCTGTGATTTCACTAGTTGTAAAATAACTGTATTTTTGTTGATTTAAATTCAGTAAAAATGGTGTGACATTTGTAAAAAAAAAAAAAAAAAACAACCTAAAAAAATATTAAAAATGAGATTTTTGATGTGGACATTAATTACACTTTTGGCCTGTTTTTTGTTTGTTTGTTTGTTTTTCAAACATTTACAACATGTAAATTTAAATTCAATTAAATTGTTTCCCCTACAATTTCACAAAACAGGAAAAATTTATAAAATAACACAATAAATAATTAGTTGATTTTTTATATTTTATTTTATTTTTTGCAGTGCACAGAAAGTTTCGTTTAACATGTAGGGCTCAGGAAGTGACTCCAAGTCTAACTAGTAGTATGTTGTAATGCAGGACACCTCCACCCTGCACCACAACCACCTGCCTACACACACAAACACACAGTCAACAGAAATCATCAAACATCATCGCATCATCCCACAAACTCGTTGCCCCCAAATCTGATTGGCTAATTTTAAACACTGTCGCTCGTGCAGCTCCTTACCTTGGTCGCGTTCTCATCGTTGCTGAGCCTGTCTTCGGGCACATCTGTCGGCATCTGCAAACTGAAATCAAGCGATCGGGGGAAAAATGAGGAGTCCAGAAGAGAACAGAGAACAGCAGCAGCAGCAGCACCACCCCTCCTCACCCCCTTCCTCACCCCACTGACTTTATGAACCCGAGCCGGAGCGAGATCTCTCACCTGTCAGGTGGCTGTCGGCAACTACAAAGTAAGCACGGTCTCTCTCTCTCTCTCTCTCTCTCTCTCTCTCTCCTCCCTCCCTCGCGTCCTCTCTTCCTCCCTCGCTCTCCTGCACTCCCTCTCTTTCCCTCTCTCTCTCTATTCCTCTCTCTCTCTCTCTCTCTCTCTCTTCAGGTTAGGGCCCAGGTCCAGCTCTGCAGACCGTCATTCATCACCGCTCTCCAAATTGACTTGATGCGTAAAATCTCCCCCAAATCTTGCTTTTTTTTCTCTCTCTCTCTTTCCCCCCAGTTTTCAAAAGACAGTCACTCTCTTCACCACGCTGGACTCACGCTCTGCAGGTGTGTTGCTGCAAGTGCACGCAGCAGCTCAGTGATGAAAAGTGAAGCAGGGATGCAGGGATGCAGGCAGGAGAGACGCTCCTCTCGGTGTCACGAATCTCTCATTGACCCCTGGATGATGGAGGCTATGCAGAAAGCGGCCGCTAGGGGGCGGTGCAACACAACGCAAGCGCTTTCCTCAGTAATTGGCTTTGTTGGTGTGCACATCCTTGGGGGATATACGTTTAAAAAAAAAAAAAAAAAGCACCATTGGGGGGATATTCCAGAGGTGTGACAGCCCTCCTACCAGTTTACCAACTCTCTCATTCTGTCTTTCCTCTCTCGCCCACCCCTGTCGACGACACGTGTGACCTTTTCCTTGACATTTATCTTTTTTTTTTTTTTTTTTTTATGAAGTCTTTTTCCAGTACCCGGGAATCCAAGGAGTGTATTTGGACGTGTTTTCTGTCAGAATGTGAGCGTGGCCGTGAGCAGTGGTGCGTCCCTCCCACACAAAGCCACAATAGACTCCGGCAGTGAGCAGCCAGAGCGCTATTATAGCCCTAATCCTGCTCCTATTATACAGGCCAGAGAGAGAGCGAGAGACACAGAGAGGGAGGTAGAGCTGAAGATGAGGTCATCCCAAACAGTGCACACACCCAGGGTCACTGGCTCACTATAGAGGCGCACTGATAAAGAGAGGGATGGTGCAGGGGCTGCAGGAGGGTGGGAGACGCTCAGAGAGGTGAATGGACAGGAGATGGGGTCAAAACCTGAGCTCAAGGTGCACAAAAAAAAAACACACTGACATGTGACGGGGATGGTAAAGTACTTTGTTTATTTCATATGCATATGAAACCACACTACAACAGGAGCAGGAAACCACGATGATGGCCGTCGTTGGGTTTGTTTTTTGTAATAATGTTAATTCTAATCACAAGTGGATAAAAGAATAAACTGTAGGAAAGTAAAAATACACGCTAATGGAAATAAAACCAGTAAAATAATTAGAATCAGTACATAAATAAACAATAAATACTGAATAAATAAGTGAATAAATAAAAGAACAATTTATTTACCCTACACCCAAACAAAATAAATAGCTCTAATGCATGAACCCTGGCAATGATTTCATGGGACAGTTAAGAATGTGTCTCCATGAAGAGAGTTTTCTTTGTTTTTGCATTTTTATTTTTCCGTCCCTGGACCAGTTTTTTTTTCCTCCTGTTTGCATCGGTAGCCCACAGTACCCGAGTCCACAGTGACCAGCTCTGTGGTGCCGCATTAATGTGGTGATTGTCATAGAGAGGTGTTCAATCTGCCCCCAAAATAGCTTCTCTACGCTGGAGAACTGGACACAACCACACAAATCATGCCACACTCCTTTTTTTTTTTCTCGTTTTTTTTTCTCTTGTTTGCCTGCTGTGATGGGTTTCTTTGCTCTCTTTGCTTGAGTTAAGCACACTAACCAGCTCCACGTCTCTGTACGTAAAAACCCCTCGTCTGGAGAGCAAACAGCAAGTCTATTCTGTCACTGTTAACAGCCCCAAAGTCACCATTTCCAACTAGCAAAAGTAGATTTCTTTGCTAAAAACAAAAGAGCAATACCCCCCCTCAACTATTCCTTTAGCACAATCACTGGAAGATTCCCATGAAAAGGTATCCTTGTACATTCTTGAATCTATGATTATTCATCTTACAAAGAATAACAAGTCTTGGTGAGCTTAAACACTTTGGTAGGCAACTGTGAAATATTAGCTGGCAAATACTTAACTGCATGCCATGGATACTTTATCCAAGCCCATACCACTCCACATCCAGCACCACTGCACTATTCAGACCTCTGCAGCTTTAGCAGCTTATTGTAAAAAAAAAATAAAAACCTACAGTGAGCCTCAACCACTCATTTGGAGAGTACATTTGCAGATTGCATAGATAACATGCTCAGCAGTGTGATAGTTTCATTGCAAGATAAAGCGTTTTGGATCCATTTCATAGTTTGTTGCACCCGTATCACAAGCGGAGAGCTCTCGGCCAGTTTTTGTGCAACTATCATTCACAGTAAAGTAAATCGGCGAAGCGGCCTAGGGCTGAGTCTAAACCCTATGAATTAACAGTCAGTTCCCCTTCAAACGCTCAGGGGTGGTTTTTCACAGTTGTATCGCCCCTAAAAACGAAAAAGAAAAAAAAAAAAAGAACGCCTGCCAATGTCTCTCTTCCACTTTCTCTCTCACACACAAACACATGCGCACACACACACACACACACACGTACACATCCTTGTTTTCTTCCCCCAAGTCTGATTACTCATCATTGATTGCTCCGAGTTGGCTGGTTTTTTTTTTTTTTTTTTTTCTCTATCTTTCTTCTTCCTCCTCCTCCTGTGGGTTAAACTCAGAGGAAGTAGTCAGAGGGCGGGGAAGGTGGGTTGTTGGTGCGGGTCGGCGGGGCGTCGCCGCTGCTGCTGCCACCGGTACTGTGGTTTGTGCTGAGGAGCTTCTCGTAGCGAGCCTTGTAGGCGTCCCTCTCCCTCAGCACTCGAGTCAGCTCACACTGTAGCTGTTCCAACTGTGGAGAAGGAAGAAAATGAGAGGAGATGTTGGTTTGTTTGTGCTTTATTGAGCTGCAATGCAAAGATGTTCACTCAATAGTCATGGCAGGGATGTAAGATGAAGGAGTTTATATCAGACCCTGCTTTCTTCACCTCCTTTAAAGGTCCCATATTACACCTCTTTTTTTTATCAAATTAATGCAAAGTATCACATGTCTCCAGAAGGTGCATTTCAAACTCAGAGCACTCAGCCTATAGTAAGACTGGTTTTCACCCTGTTCCAAACAGACTGTTTCAGTGTCTGTAGCTATAAATCCAACTGAACTGCACCTCTTTCTGCATCTGTTCTCTTCAGTGATTGGTTGAGAGGAGCTCAAAGTAGGAAGAGTCACACAAGGACACACTTTGCGATTTACAGAAAAAGAATTCTATGATGCTCCTGGTTATTGCCTTGTTCTAAACCTACTCTTTCAGTGTCTGTAGCTTTAAATCCAACTGAACTGCCACTGCCTCCACTCCTTTCAGGGTGAGGGTGATCTATTCTGTTCAGTGATTGGCCGAGAGGAGCCCAAAGCAGGAGGAGCCGGTAGAGTAACCTGTTGTGACATCACAACAGGCTGCAAACGTGAACAGCTCAATTCAGAGACATGTTTTCTGATTTACTGAGAGAAAAAGAAACAAGGGAATGGTTGTGGGCCTCTAGACAAATGGAAAGCTGGATTTGACCTAATATGGCCTTATTAGAACCACAAACCTACATTAAAGCTGACTGATAGGACAGGGACTTTACCTGTTGTGTGAGCACGTGTTTCTCTGACTCCAGAGCGTGGCGGTGCTGTAAGCGCTTGTAGCGGCACGACTGGGCATAGCCGCGGTTCTTTAGCGTGCGGCGCTTCTGCTTCAGGCGCACCACCTCGTCCTTGCTCACCCCACGCAGGTGTCGGTTCAGCTCGCGCACCGACAGGCTCACCAGCTGCTCATCGGAGAAGCGCTCGTTCACCCCGCACTGCCGAGCAGATGGAGAAAACACACAGAGAGAATATGGTGTTTGTCAAATGGGCACCAGAGGACACACATTGGAAGTGATTGCAGTGTGTACAGATAAGAGGAGCGTGGACTGGATTCATTCCAGGATTCAGACTTTTATATCCATATATATTTATTTATACGTGTGTGACAGCCATGGTGTGGAGATGATGTGTCAAACTGAGTGTGTGTGGTGTGTGAAGCTCGTCTGTCTGTCTGTCAGGGGGCACATTTCGGCACCACATGTCCATAATCTGTCATGTAATCTGACTAAGTGTGGGTGACAGTTATCGGGATTACGCACAGCAATAATAGCAGATATTATCATAAGCTCACGCTGTGCTCCATATAGAGATCCACTCAGACATCTTGATCAACCAGAACACATTAGTTTTTTAACCTAATAAATTACATCCAGAAGCAAGCAGTCAAGTTATTATTAGCAAAACATAATGACGTTGTAACCAGAAATAAGAGTTTATTAAGGTATTCGTCAGCAACTTCGTCCCCTCCTGTGTGCAACTGTGCTATATGAAGAGATAATGAACTCGGAAATGCAGTTGTTAAAATATAAAATATGTCCTCATAGGTAAAGTTATAATTAATGACAAACACTGCACATTTAAAGACACCTAAAGATGCTCCCATATCTGATTAGAACTACATCACAGTGTTTTAAACTATGTATTCAATGTTCATCTATTCCTTGCAAATGCTAAATGGGGGGTTACCAAAGTGTAATACGTGTCTCCAAGACTTTGAAAGACAAAGATTCAACAATAACTTGTTGTTGCCATGTAGAGAGCAATCCCTAAAGTAATACTTGAGATAGACACAGACATTAATAACCGCGTTCTAATGTCCTTATCCTAATCCTTCACCGCACGATCCCTCTCTCCTTCCGCCTGGCCCTCTAATGCGACATGTGCCATCGTCTTCTCAGTCCACGTCTTTTACCTCGAGTATTTTCCCACAGGCTATTGAGTCCTGTTGATCGTCATGACAATGAGCCCTCTAATCTGTGTACCTGATTGACTTGTGGGTGGTGATGATGGTGATGGCTGCCATGCATGGGGTGGTGCGGGTGATGCTGATGGTGGTGATGCTGGTGGTGGTGAAGGCGGCCCTGGGGGCTGAGGGGCTGAGGGTAGGGGCCCGAAGCCGGGGCGCCGTTGGGGAGCGAGGGAGGGGCCGATGAGAGGAAGACGAGTGGGCGATGGCACATGTCGGCCGCCTTGGCGCAGGAGATGTCGGCCCCACTGTCGCTGCTGGAGTCACCCAGGTTGCTGCTCGAACTCTGAGAAAGACCTGGAAACTGCAGAGAGGAGGAGAGGCGGTCAGTTTGTTTCATGTAAAAGAGGAAAGAACCAGTGACTTGAGGGATGAGATTGTTACCTGTGAGCTGACAGCCGCAGCAGCCGAGTTCAGCAAAGCCTCCACAGCATCCTCACAGCCCAGGAAGCCATTGACAGGCCCCCTCTCTCGGTCCCCTCGCTCCGGAACTCCTCCCAAGGCTCCCAGCAGAGTGGCGGGCCCCGTCACCTCACCTCCAAACTGCTGCTGCAGCGCCGCCAGCCAGATCAGGTCCTCCAGCGAGGCCGGAGTGGGACCCTGAGGGCCGCCGTGGGCCGGGCTGCCCTCCACGTTCCCCTGAGAGCCGGAGCTGATGCCGGAGGTGAAGCTGTTGGATATGGAGATGGGGAAGGAGATGGAGGAGGAGGACGAGGAGAGGGAGGAGGAGCCCGAAGGAGGCGGGTGGGCGTCGCTGAGCGTCGGCGAAGGTGGCAGCGAGTTGTAAGGGCTGGAGCTCAAACTGGAGTCCTGCGGAGGGTGGCTGGTGTACGGAGAGCTGGAGGGGTCGTGGGGGAGGCCAGATTTGGGATACGAACACGGAGGGGGGAGCGGAGGAGTGTCTGATTTCACCTCAAACTTGAGGAGGTCAAAGTCGTTCAGGTACTCCATGGCCAGGGGGCTTGGGGGGAGAGACGGCATGGGGAGGGAGGGAGAGGACATGGTGGCTGCTGCTGCTGCTGCTGCTGCTGCTGCTGGGAGCTTCAACAGGGTTTTTCCGTGTGTCAGGATTGTTGGAAAGTCCACTCCTCTGCCTCAGTGCGGCTCATAGACGGCAGCAGCAGTGATGTCAGGAAGTCGACTGGTTGGCAAGTTCCCTCTGAGAGAAACTCTACGTCCCCTTGTCCTTGTCTGTGTTTCTTTTGTCCTGAAGAAACAAAGGAATGGAAAGGAAGGGTGTGGGATACAGGGGCAAGAGAAAAGGATGGCCAAGTCAATCAACCACTCATTTTGTGTTACATTTCATATCTGGCCCCCTCTACAAAGTTTATAAGTGGTTGTTGTATAGTAGGCCACAGACTTAGCAGGACATTGTCAGATTCACGATGAAGAGAAACTTAATCATACAGCGTAGTGCAGCTCAATAATGATAGATAACTGATGAACCGATAATGAAACTGAACAAGTAGTGAGAAAAATAAAGTCACATTAAAAAGGAACGGTTCAAAGAAGAGACAGAACGTGATCATAAAATAATAAAAACTAGATCGTTACATTAAAAGACAATGAATAGCAATACAATGAAATAATAAAAACTGGATTAAAAACTTGATAAAACAGACACAGAATTAGAAAAAAAATAGAATGAAATCCGACAACTTGTCAGTGCTTCCACTTTACCCACAATGCAACCTGACAGCCCACCAGGTCCGACTGAGATTTAGGAGTGTTACAATAGCGGTGCCTTAAGCTCTCAGCCTCCAGCAGAGATGAGCATGCGGCTGCAGAGGTATAGAATAAGCTCACGTGTTTCTAATGCCTCATCTATTGATTTTTTTTGTTTTCATTTCACATTCACATTTCATTTCATTTCTAACCTCGCCTCCTATGATGTCACTTGAGGACATTTTTATCTCACTTTACACAGCTCCCTCCTTACTTTTTTTTTTTCAAGTAGGAGTCTCTAAGAGCTTTGACTCAACTTATGTATATATCAGAAAGCTCCTTGAAATTAACTGTTTGACTGCTAAAATACATTTGCAGTCACACTGGGGGAAAAAAAGAAAGAAGTGTTTAAAAAATACCAGAAAATATGGGAAGTACAGTAATTTCCCATACTTAAAATACCTTTTCTAGCCTTAACTTTTCTGGATTTTTGATGTTTATTAAAGATATTTGCACGTTTGACAAATATATGTATAATTAGATAGTTCAAATGAGAAATGATGTACATGTACCAATGTCTATAGATATGAAAAAATGCTTAAAACACATTTATTCAACATGTTTGTCGTGCAAACTTCTGTAATTATACAAGATAGTTGTTCTTTTTGTGTTAGTTGTCACTAATTGTATCTAGTTTCATTCTTAGTCTTTCAATTTAACATTTTCAACTATTAAATAAAAAGGAAAAATGCATGAGGTTATAGTTTGAACAATGAATTTTCAAAGTATTTTTGTATGAAAAAGTTTTTTCTTTAAAAAAATCTTATCTTTAAAATTCTGTTTACTCACAGTTACAGGTTCTTAATCTTATTAATAAGTCCATTAAAAACTTTACAACCTGAAAATTGTTCCCATTGTTCTCGCTGATCTGTGAAACATTAGTAAATGAGTTATTAACCATCAATAAAACCACTTAATGCAGTTTTGCAAACTTGTCTTTGAAAGCAGTTTCTATTTCTGATTTCTTACACGTTTCCATTTTGTAAGTTTGAGATCTTTTTGCTGCTCAGGTTCCAAAACTCAGTTTGTAAAACATTGTACCATAAACGTCTCGAGCAAAAGGTCAGTCTGACTTTGTTGATCATGAAGTTAGTCTGTGTGAGGCAGGCCTTGTTTGTGTGTTATATTAAGACACTAATCTATAGCACATCCTCCCCCCCCTCTGCCCACTATCTTAATACACACATGTATGGACTATAAACGCTGGCACGCTCACATACACATGCACGTTTACTGATGTATACTTGCCTAAAATGTATGTAGACAATCAGAAGTTTAAGGCTCCACCAAACTTTAACATTTGTGCACGTTCAACAGGTGCATTTAACGGTTTAAAATCATGATTCTCACTTTGCCTCTTTTTACCAAGTAAAGCAAGACATCATCTCTAAACTTTCTAAATGAAGGAGTTTGTCATTCTGTAAGTGAAAACAAAAGTCAAATGCTTTTTTTAATAAATGGCCTCTTTTGCCCTTTCAGATGTATTTCTACATGTCTATGCTGAAATAATTACAGTTTATCTCCCTAATGGACTCACACACAATAGATATAACACATAATATTTCCAGAAACATCTGCTCGCTGGACACATAACCGACTGATGCACAAGAATTTAAATGGCTTAATCATTTTTGACAGAAAGATCCACAAGTCTCAGAGACCAAATCCAATTATCAAGAAGTTCAGGCTTTAATCCAGAGCCAGAGACCTTCTAGGATTGATTGAAATGGGCTTTTATGCAGTTGAAATTTATATATATTTTGTTAAAGAAACTAATTTACTGATTGAAATGTTAAAGCTTGTTCTTTTTTATGCCTTTATAGCAGATTCAACATCCAAAAAAAGTCATTGTTTTGAAGAAACTCTGTGATGAGGTTAAAGGCTATACATTAAAATGATCAAATGTGTTCTTTACGATGCTTTTATAGCAGATCCAACATCAAAAACTTTGTTTTAAATGAAAGTGACATGAAAATAGAGCGTAGAACAACTTCTTTGGGGCGACAAATGAGTTAAACATGAACCCAACAAGTTAAAACACTGAGACAGAGCTGAACAGACTGAAAGTATCCCTTCATTATATCAGTGAAAATATTTCCAACGCACGCCACAATGGTAACTTCATCAAAGAAAGCTGTGGAAGAGCAAAGCTGCTTCGTCCACCGCTGATGACAGGCCTTCAGATATAATAGTTATTATGATTAAAACGTACACCTAATTAAAAAAAAATCCACCTTTGACTAGTGGCTCTGCGGCACAGCTCATTAGTTTTGCCCCCCGTGGCTCAAAATGGATTGTAAAAGAAAGCAAACAGTGACGGGGCTCCATGGAGGCCTCAATCTGGCTCCGGACCAGAGTCGGGGCAAAAAACACACACATGAGAGAAAAAAGTAGAATGAAAGGCGGCAGAGATAAAGGCAACGACACGAGATGACAGCCAAACAAAGTGAATGAAATGATCTTACCGTCGGTCATAGAGATGAAGGATGGTTACGAGCTCTTTTCAACATCCCCACCAAACACACACACACAAATAATCGACTGACTGGGCTGACTGACACGTTTGGAGAGAGACACAGAGGAAACACAGAGTGTGTGTGTGTGTGTATGTGTGTGTATGTGTGTGTGTGTGCATGTGTGCGCATGTGAGTGTGTATAGCACTCTGTCACTGAGTGCCACTGCCCCCTTTCTTTCTTTCCCCTCTGCTGCAAATCCCTGTTCGCAACAATCCCCTCCTCTCTCTCTCTCTCTCTCTCTCTCTCTCTCTCTCTCTCTGTCTCTCTCTCCACATCCCTCCATCATGGTTCACAGGCATGTTCACACTACTTCTCTCTTTTTCTCTCTGATGTCTGTCTTTCTTTATTTCTGCTTCTTGTTTGGTGTCTTTCTGTCACACACCTACACATTCCCATCTCTCTCCCTGTGATGCCTTCAAAACAACAAGAAACACACTCATTCATAGGTATTTGTACCAAATCGAGTGTATCTTAGTCAAAATGTGCCATTTTCCCCACACTCAGCTCACATTTAGCTTGACATAGAGAAAAGTTTCCACACTCATCACTGAGTTAAACTTAGTCTTGGCCGTTGTATTGGACTGTAGAATCTGTGCTGCCTCACAGTGGACACTCACAGCGACTGAACTGAAACCCAGCGAAGGAGCAGCTTTGATTTAACTGCTGCAGAAGTCACAGCGAGCCAGATTTAAGTTAGAAAATTATTATTCAATTTAAATTCTCTGTGATATGTCCACAAATGTATAAACACACAAATCCTGTATTGGTTTTTAACTCGATCTAATTCCCATACAGTTGATGTGAATGTTTCACTGCAGTAGGCCGTAGGAAAATGCAATTGTCGACTTCATTTAATTTTTTTGAGAAACACAGATTAAACAGATAGAACCACTGACAACACATCGGCAAGACATGTCTATGAAGTCTTTTGAAACCACGTGACTAGGTTTAAAAAATGTGCCAAAGCAGTGGAATTAAACTCCAAACTGTCCACATGACCTGTTAGCAGTGATGGAAATGAAGTTGAGCTGCAACAATTATTCCAACAGTTTTCAACTCCTGTTTTGCTCATCATCTAATCAATTGTAGTAATAAAACATGAAAAAGTCACACTTTTCTGGTTCCAGTCTCTTAAATTGGAGTGTTTTCTGATTTTTTAACTCCTGTATATGTTTGGATTGTGGACAAAAAGACATCTAAGCATATTATCTTGGCCTTTTTTGAAAAACTGGTTGTTATTTTTCATCATTTTCTGACATTTTGTGGATCAAACAACTAACCAATAAATTAGGAACATGATCAACAGATGTACTCAGTTACTGCTCTGATGTACTCGAGTGTTTTCACTTTGTGCTACTTTGTTCTACTTCACTACATTTCCCAGAGAAGTACTGTGGAATTATTACCACTTGTAATCTATATTTATTTAACAGCTGTAGTTACATTTCAAATAAGGGTTTTGCCTTCAAAACTCAGCAGCGGCTTTATTCGGTACAAAACTAGTGTAATCCAAGACAACAGCTCGGCCATAAATTTGACTTTTTGAAAGCTTCTGCGTTTCCAGTCATGCATCTTAATGGGGTGGATAAATAAATACACCACCCACTATGTGCCTCAAGACTGAAAACAAAGTAGAATCATCATCTGTTTGACAGCATCAACGAAAAACTGAACATGTAGAAGCCTCGTGAGAATCAAATGTATGCAGAAGCAGAGCTGTTGTGTTGCATTGCATTGGCTCCCTAATAAAGTGGTCACTG